AGCTGCCTTTGTCTGAACTGCCCTTCTGTCTCTATTAAAGGCATGGCAGAGATCCCGATAATGGGAATCTTTTATATAAGTTGAATGCTGCTACAACCACAAGCAACGCATGCAGGGAGAAAGTCTGGCATGGGAAATCTCAGCAGTGCTTCCCATTAAAGGTGATTCATAATAACCTACGTGTCCTTGGTCAGACCAATAGTCCACCAACCCAGTTTCCAGCCTACAGTATCAAGTAGTAGATGCTTTAGAGAGAAAGTATATGAATGGGGCATATCTAAAGTGACCCATATCATGTTGTACCCTCCCTATTGAATCGCTCATTTAGGGAGCTGAGAGAAGACTTACCTGATTGTTCTGTTTTTCATAGTTTGCAATGGACTTGTTCTCCATGAATGTGTCCAATCCCTGTTTGAACCCTGCTATGCTATCTGCTTCTCTAACTTCTGGTTGCAGCGAGTTCCCAAAGTGCACTACATGCTCCATTAGAAAAGTACTCTCTCATCTCTGTTTTAAGCATACCGCCTGATCATTTCAGTGGGTACTGCACAGTTCTTGTATTCTGGGATTTGGTAAATAAACAGCTCCCTAATTCATTTTATCCATCCTTTGGTCATTTTATATATAGAGTGCTATCCTATCCCCTCTCAGCCTTTCCAAACTGGAGAGTCCTAGCCTTCTTAGTTGGTCAAGCAGCTGCTCCATCCATTTCCCTAAGCATCTTTGTTGCCTTTGGTCAGCTATTGCCCTTGCCCTTGTTGTTCCATACATTTGGACTTGGGTCTTATTTTGCTTCCAAGTGATGTAGGGCTAAAGCTTGAAGCACCGGGTTTTACAGTTTGAGGCTATTTGGTTTTTATGGAAATATTAGGAATGCTATCCTGGGAACTCCTGCATGCATTCTTCTTTTAGATGTGGACCGACTGAGGCAAGGAGACTAGACTTGCTATGGTCAATTAGGGAAAGAGCCAAGACTAGAACTCAGACTCCTTTACACTGCTTTTAGCAATCAACTGTGTTGTCTGTACAGTCCCCTTAAGCACCAATACATATATATGCTCTCCCAAGCAGTTCCAGTGTGCAATGCTGGAAAAGCCAATAATCGCAAAATGATCCTGTTTAACAGCATTTTACTTAAAGCAAGGGACATGATTTCTTCCCTCTCTAACAACTGCCATTTCCTGGAGAGCCAGTTATACAAGTCAACAGCTGCAGGTTGTTTTCTTTTGCACACACCTATCAGTCAGAATTCCTGTTAACTATTGAAGCTTCGCAGGTTTCCTTCATGAAGTCAGGAGTGAACAGACCAGAGTGAAGCGCTCTCCTAGACTGTAAGCTGTTTGGAACGAGAACCTGTATTCCCTATATACATATGCAGCCTGGTGCAGGTGGTGCCTTTTAGCCCCTATTGTAAGATAAGGTTAACTTCGGTGTTCTTCACAGCATGCAATCCTATAAGAGTTTCAAGTGTTAACCACCATACCCATGCATGTCCCAGCAAGGACAGACTTACTAGATGGACTAACAAGTCCACTCTCTGAACCCCATCAACGAGAGCAGTTGCAAAGACTGGCAGGACCATGGCCAAAGCAGTTCCACAACTCAAGGGTACCTATACATGAGCAGCAATGCTGCTCTGATGCATTGCAATTACAGCTCGTCTGAGCAGACACGATAAATTGAGTCTGCTGGAGCATGGCAACTGCCATGCTCCAGCGGCCTCCAGTGTCTCGTGTATCAGCACCCCCGTGGTTAAAAATGGCAGCAGGGGCACTTTATTTAAAGCTCATTTGTCAAGCTTTACATAAAGCACCCCCCACCACCATTTTTAAGTGTGGGGATGCTAATACACAAGATGCTCCAAGTGCTTTCATTAGAGCAGCTCTCAAAGCCACTCTATTTAAAGCGCCCCCAACTCCCGAAGCATGTGTATAAACTCTACAAGATTCCACCTATTTGTTTTGTGGCCCCTCCCTGAACCAAACCTAATTCTGTGGGCTCAAGGCCAAGAACAGTTCAGCTGAAACACAAAGCCACCTATCCCCACATCTGGTAACTACACCCCAAATGCAGATGGCCCAGAACCTGCAAGCACGTTCAAAACACAGACCTGCTGCCGAAGAAATCTACTTCCAAAATAGTGTTCAAGAAGGTGGGAGGGAACATCACATTTTTCTGCTTTGGTTTAGTTTCCAACTGGGCAGAAGTTTAGGGATCTCCAGCAGAATTACAGCTATTACAAAGGATGGTTCAAGAAGGGACTCCAGCCTAATAGACCAAGTTGGGTAAAGAGTGGGATTCTACAACCAGCTGCTTCAGGAGTCTCCCGTTTCCTCTCTGGTGACTAAAAGTGAAAAGCCTGCAGAGAGTGCACAGATCTAGGCATGCTGCGAGCAGGGGGTTTATTCCAAAGAGCTCTGGGCACCCCAGCAAGATGCTACCTCACTCCTGCATTGCTGAATTTCCTGCTCTCCAATGTCTGTGTCATCAGAGACCTTTGACAGTCCAGCAGTTTGCTGAAGTCCCAAGGAGAGGTCAGGATGGCAGGTGCACACAGAATAGCTGAAGACACCTGGCCAGTAATGTGTCAGCGCAGGACCTGGCTGTTACGGAGGACTATTGTAAAGCTAGTGCAAGTCTGACCAAGAGCATCTGCTCCGCGAGCTTGCTGCGCTCTATGCAAGCTGCACGCTGGCCACTGCAACTGCTCCAGGAGATTGTCACTGGGTTTTGACCGAATCAAGCAGGGTTTTTTGTTTGTTTTTTCCTGGAGACTAACTGTAGAAAAGGACTGAGAGAGATGAGAAATAAGGCTATCAGCAGGTGATGGCCTGGTCCCTGCTTTCCCCATGCTTCTCGGCCCAAAGCACTGGTGCCAGTGTCCAGGTGTGTCCAGAGGAACCCAGGCATGAGGGAAGGCAGCTGACACCTGTTTGGTGGGGATGGAAGCGGACAAAGAGGGCACCTTTCTGCCCAGACAATCCCCTGCCTGCAGATGCAGCCCCCTCACCTAGGCCTGTGCAGCCATAAGATCCCTGTGGAGGGGGACAAGGCTGTTGGACTGGGACAAGGCTGTGGGTTTCCAGGCCTCCCACCCACTCCTGACCCAGCCCAGAGAAAAGCCCTGAGTCCTAAACACAGCAAGGCCAAGGATCCCCCTTGCCGGTGTGATCTGTGCCCCACAGCTGCCCCAGACCCCAGTGGAAGTCCCCTCAACCCCAAACAGTCCTGGAGGCAGGGCTCCTGGTGAGCTCCCCAGTGAGGGGTGTCCCTGCCATGGGCCCTTCCCAGTGCCAGGGGACAGGGCTGCCTAGTGAGAGACCCCCAGTGTCTGGAGAGGGGGGGTCACCCATGACAGAGTTCCCCAGTGATGTGCGTTCCCCATGAGGGACGGTTCCCCACTCCCCAATGATGAGGGTTCCTCAGCAGCAGGGGCTCCCCACGCGCGGAGGGGCTCGGCGGGGCGGGGGTCCCGGTACCTGCAGAGGCGCAGCAGCAGGCAGGCCACGAGGGCGGCGCTGAGGGCGCAGGCGGCGATGACGGCGGCCTTGAGCGCGGACAGGTCGCGGAGCAGCGCGGACAC